TTTTTTTCCTGGACTCTTTTGCTTCAGACTCATCATTTTCACGCTCTCGTTTCCTCTTTGCCTTACACAACTTGGAATTGTTGAACTTTAAATAGCAGGATTTGTGCCAGGACGCAAAATGACTAGCAAAGTTGTCAGCAGTTTCGTTCTTTCCGAAACGAAGCTCAACTGGAAGTTCTCCTATGTCTCGGAATTGTTCTACATTGCACAGAAAGGATGTGTACGCATTACTCTTTTGATCACTTGTTCCAGGACTCTTCAAAGGGCATTTTAAAGGTTCTGCGGTGTCTTGCTGGCAAATGATGCAGCAATTCCAGTCTAGCAGCGCCATTCAATATAATTTGCAGTCCCAAATTGCGGTACAGAGTAATGATAAACCTGGCGAGTTTTACGAAATGATATAGCGACAAGATTAGTTCATTGTCCATTGAGCAACAAGATAAGTTCAAGGTTAGTTCAATTAAATAGTGCTAATACTAAAAAATTAAAAAAACTAAAATTAACGGAGCTTTTGGTTCATACGTCAATTATCATGGCAAAATGTGAATGAATCTATTTTACAAGCAAGGAATATTTATTCCCTTTAAAATTATAAACATTCTGTATTGTATACATGGCAAAAAACTGGAAGTGTCAACACAGTCACAGCGACATGAGAGTTTTTATAAAAATTGATGTATAGCGGCAAGATTAGTTCATTGGCTTGTAGCTTCGTTTGGCTTGTAGTCAAATTTATTTAAATAAAACACTGAAAGAATTAAAAAAACTAAAATTTATATTTAATTAGATCCTGAGTTAGCTAATGCTAGTTTACACAATTAGGTCTTTCAGGTATATATTCAAATATATTGTATGACTATGTCTATATGACTATGATCTAGGTTACACAAGTGCTCCGTCAAGGGCCAAGACTGATTATTCAATTCAAAAAAATCTTTACACTTGATATATGGTCGTCTTTCTTGTCTGAATGTAGGTCAGGTTTGGCTAATATATTGTACATTACAATCATTGCACGGAATTGAGTAATGCTTCTTTTTCATCTACGTACTTATTTATTTATTATTTTTCCACGTACTGTATTCAGAATGTTTATAAACTTTATTCTTTACGGGTATATAAATATTCCTTGCTTGAAAAATAGATTCATACACATTTTACCCGGATGATAGACGTTTAGTCCAAAAGCTTGGTTAAATTTTAGGTTTTTAAAAATTCTTTAGTGGTCTCGATTTTATAAAATTTTATCGTCCAGACGAAGCTATAAACTAAATAAATTGTTTACCTGGCTACAGGACTCTCTTGGTCTTGGATATATTGATTCTTTCAGCCGACCCACAACGTTTGTATAAGCATATTCTCACGGAATTTAAAAGTATATTAAAAAGTATGTGTGAAGTTCTTCAAATCGAACACATTCGTGTTTTGTTTACAACGACAGGTTGGCGCCATTAATGTAACAAAATAAACGCACGCGAGTTTTAGCTTAGTTATGCAAGTTTGAGATGTTTTTATGAAGAAAATGAAAATCAGCGACCTTCAAAACCCCTAATTCGGAACAATCCTGACATTTTTACGACACCTAGAAGCCGAAAAGTGTTTAATTTTTTATGGATGTCCGCCATCTTGGATTTTGGTAAATGCTCAGTCTACGTACGCGAATCTTTTTACGATTTGCGGGAAAATTTAAGATAGCTTAGGAGGGCTCCTAGCCTAAAATTAATCAATAGACTTAAAGGCAGTCTCATGCCAAATTTGGTGCTTTTATCCGACAGGTAACAAAAATCATAAAAAAGAATACTAAGCCACCTGACTACTGTAGTCAAATGGTTTTATTCATATGCATAGTTACAGTAATAGAAATATAGACAAGCGAGTCTGCACATTGAGCGATGAATCTGTGCCATGCACTGACTTCTGTCAAATTTTTGTTTTGTACACACGTAAAAACGCCCAAGTTGTAACAAATCTGCAGCAGACTTGTAGCAATGCTGTTCCAACAACTTGTCAACAATGTAACAAATCTGCAGCAGACTTGTAGCAATGCTGTTCCAAAAACTTGTCAACAATGTAACAAATCTGCAGCAGACTTGTAGCAATGCTGTTCCAAAAACTTGTCAACAATGTAACAAATCTGCAGCAGACTTGTAGCAATGCTGTTCCAACAACTTGTCAACAATGTAACAAATCTGCAGCAGACTTGTAGCAATGCTGTTCCAACAACTGTCAACAATGTAACAAATCTGCAGCAGACTTGTAGCAATGCTGTTCCAAAAACTTGTGAACAGAATGTGTTCGCACTGCTTGTTCCCAGCTTATTGATAACTTGTGAACTGATCAGCTTGTTGACAACTAGCTACGAGGTTGTTGAGCTCAACAGACTTGTTCCAAGTTGTCCCAACAACTTGTTATCGTCCTGCAATTCAACAATCTGTCAACAAGTTGTGAGTGACAACCTTGTAGCAACTTGATAACATGACAGCATTGTTACAATTTGTTGGCAAGATTGCTACAAGCCTGTTGCGAACATATCTTGTTGGGAGAATTTTACGTGTGTAATTTATTGTCGTTCTCTTCTTTCCAAATTCTTTACTACCGTGCGTTTCCAGATAACTCCTGGCTTGCTGTACAGTAACAATGAACAAATTTAACGTGAAGTGGCCTGATGGACCAATCTCATATTAACTATCAAAATTTTGATCTCAATAAAGCCCCGTTTACACTACGCTCAATTTTTGGTACGGCACGGATAAAATTGGTACCCGTACCACTTTTTTGGTTCTTGGACTACCTATTTAGCTAAACCCCGTTTACACTACGCTCAATTTTTGGTACCGTGCTACTTTTTGGTTCTTGGACTACCTAAATAGGTAGTCCAAGAACCAAAAAAGTGGTACGGGTACCAATTTTATCCGTGCCGTACCAAAAATTGAGCGTAGTGTAAACGGGGCTTAAGTCTAGACAAAATTCCATCACAGCATGAAAGAGCATCACAAAATTAGTAATATTCCAAAGTTTCGTTGCGAAATGTTGTAAAATGCGGATAATATAGCCTTGCGAAATTTGCAATTTTCAGTCATTTTGATTTTTGTATTACAAACGGGATCGGAAATGGAAAATTTCCCGCGCGTATTATACAAAATGACTGAAAATTGCAAATTTCGCAAGGCTACATTATCCGCATTTTACAACATTTCGCAACGAAACTTTGGAATATTACTAATGAGTAATGTGATGAAAATTTTGTCTAGACTTGTTGAGATCAAAATTTTGATTAATGTGGGATTGGCCATTACTGGACCTTTTCAATTTATAGGTTGTAAGAAAAATAGAAGAATATGGTTCACAATCAGGGAAAACTTCGGCTAAAGTGGAAATTGTAGATTGTGGAGAATTGGAAATGTCTGCATATTAAAGCCTTAGTCTGTGAAGCAATTGTTGTACAAATTACTATTTAAAGACAATTATTTGTATTGTAATTAAATATAAACGGATGTATACAACTTAATGTGATATAGCAATTAATAATTGGAATAATATAAAAATGTAAAGCATGCTTTCATGGAAATAATATATAATAAATGTCATGTACAGTTAATATAGGAGATATTATTCAAATTAAAACTCTATTATTAAAATGACCAGTTTGTTTCATTTAAGTCAAAAGGTTAAATTGAACGTCCAGCAACTTATTCATTTTCAAGTTTTTGGCTCTACTGTTAAATCTACCAATTGAAAACACATTCATTTTATGGGCATTATAAATTGTTATGGTTGAGTGATATCGAATATTAGTATCCATCAAACTCTGGGCTATCACTAATCCTGCATTCTGATTGGCTCCCTAACATTGGTCTATTGGTGGTCTATTGGTGATAGTCCAAGTTGAGAAATAGTGCTGTTGAAAAGAAGGTAAAAAAAATATTTTCCATTCGTTTTTTAATTCCTTATTTCAAATTTGCCCTACAGTTTGGTGGATACTGAAACAATTAGACCCCTCGGCCTCGTGGACTACGATTTGATAGCTCATTCGACAGTGAACGGCCTCATGGGCTATCAAATCGTAGTCCACTCGTCTTCGAGGTCTAATCGTTAAATAGTTGCTAAATATCAACTATCACACAATAACTATTTAGATCTCATTATAGCCATATATAGTTATGTTTTATTTTGGTCACAGTTTTTTCTCATACTTTAATTATAAAAAAATTGCATAATTCAACCTTTGGGTTGTAAAGCGTTTGTCACGTTTTGCAATAACAAACTATCTGTCTGTCTATCTGTATCCAGTCCAAATGTCTTTGCGCTAAAATGTCACATTTTTTAGGAAGTCTCATGGAGTTGCAGCACAATATGGGATTACTGAGCTGCCTTTGATTCTAAAGCCCTCTTTGACTAGTGTCACTATTGCAGTAGTAGGCAACAGCATGTCAAACTACCATCTGCTTTACTCAGTTCGCTATTGTCCAGTTCCATCTTGGGACCAGGTAAACCCTGGAACACCGAGATGCTGCCTGGAATATCTTTAGCTGGTTCATGTACCAAGGTACCATTCACATACAGGACATTGGCGGCCCGATCTTCTGGGGTCACAACTTTACGGTATTTGAACTTGGCTTTGGATTCCAGCTCGACCCATGCCTCGCTCGCCATAGGACTACCCCCTACGACTATCAAGTCATCCCCGGCCATAGTAATAATTGATTGCAAATGCAAATGCTTCCTAACTTTAATCGAGCTAACAGAGAAATCAGGGAAGGCTTTTGCTAAAGCATCTATCCCTTCTTTGTTGGTTCTCGAAGACAATCCCACGAAGAATTCTCGGCCGGTGAAGAGCACGTCCCCGGCATCAAGAAACGCCGGTTCTTTCATGCAAATGATATCGAATCCCATTTCAGTTAAAGCGCTTTTGATTCTTTTTACCTCCCCCCGTCGACTTTCATGGCCCATGTTTGGAATCAAAGCAGTGTTCCTCACGCAGACCGCCGTATCTGCTACAAAGACGCAGTCGGGATATGCCTCGTCGGTTTCGATGTGTGTGACGCGTAAACCAAGTTTTTTAAGTGTCTCGACATAGTGCGAATGTTGCTGGCGGGCTTTTTCAAGGTCTATTGGTTCGTCAGGTTCTTCAAGTCGTTGAGCGTTGGCCGGCAAAGATCCAGGAACGCCACAAACAATTGCTCTGGTGTATTTTGGGACCGCCATGTTTGTTTCTAGATTAGCTAACAAAACGAGTTGAGGACTGGGTACTAATCGCAGGTCTCCCAAAGGAAATGTTGGGGGAGGGGGGAAAAAAAATTTTCCGGACATACCAGAAAAATTTTCCGGATATATCACATTTTTTCCTAAATATGAAAAAAAATTTCAGGATATACCCATTCTCGTACCCAGAGCCCTTCCTACGCGCGGTGCGACGAGGGGCTCTAGCCAAATCCATATTCCGAACTGGCATCTGATTGGCTAGCATCCTCGTTCCCAGGGCTTCTCGGCTGCCTGCGTGCGGCAACGCAGGCAGCCGAGAAGCCCTGGGAACGAGGATGATTGGCTAGTTCTAACACCGGACATTGTTTTCTTAACATGTTTTTATGGTATCCGGTTATGGATTTGGCCAGAGCCCCTCGTCGCACCGCGCGTAAGAAGGGCTCTGGGTACGAGAATGGGATATACCAAAACTTTTTTCCAACCTCGTACCCAGGGTCCCCGTGTTTAAAGGTTCCAACAAGGCGACCCTGGGGTACGAGGTTGAAATTTTTCCGGATTTATGAAATTTTTCCCGGAAATGAAAAAATTTTCCGCAAATAACATAAATTCAAGTTTTCAAAAGTGCCCTTTGGGCAAAAATGCAATCTTAATGACATTTTTCACGCAAGAAAAGGGCACTTTGCTCCCGGAAAAAGGACACTTGGCAAGATTTGGGTGGCCTGCCCCCCCCCCTCTGGTTCCTACGCCCCTGTCTACAGGGTGTCAAAGGGTGTAAACGCTATGGAAATTCAACAGGCTATCGTGCATCATAAACGTGGCTAAACAAGTAAATTTTTACATACGACGAAAGAACAGTTATTTAATAGCTTTTCAATGATACTCTCAATAAAAATTGCCGGTCGAAATCACATTCTTCCAAGACAATTCCCAAGAGGGAATTTAACTCAATCGGAACGTCATTAAACATGGTTCAATTAACCCCCGAACAGAGAACATTCGTGATCAAAACGTTTTACGAAACAAATAGCTTGCAGCAGGCTCGAGTTTTGGATGACAAACTTTGTATAATTAATGTATTTTCGACTCCCAACAGTGGAAGAATGTGATTTCGACCGGCAATTTTTATTTGACGAGTATGTGGCCATTTCTCATCGTTACGATTTAAAAGAGGTATCATAAAAAAGCTAGATAACAGCTCTTTCGTCCTATGTAATATGATAATGCTGATGTAAATTGCACATTCAACCACGTACAAAGCTCAAACGCATTTTGTTCGCAATAGGTACGCCTTTCCGTACCTATTTTTCACTTTAAACTGGTATCTTTACTGTAATCGAATCAGGTTTGGTTTTTTTCGACAGAATTATCATTGGCAGTGCCTATAACAAGTTCTCTTACATTTGTATTCATAGTGTTGGCTGCCACTTTGCTGGGAGAAAGTATCAAAAACAAGGGTAAGTCTGAGACAGTGAGGTAAAAAAAAAAACAACTTTGGAAAACCATGGAATTCGGGCAAATGCTAGGAAAAATCAAGAAAATTCAGGCACATTTATCAGAAAAGATATAATTAAATTCAGATTATTTAATTACAATCCTCCATACAAATTTGGGCAAGCTTTGAACTCCCTGAAAGCATTAGCCCTTTGCGTCTATGCTGGTCAAGATATGAACTGAAAACTCGCCAAATGGCAAAGTATCGAAAGGTTGGTTCATACTTTCTCAAATTCATTAATAATTCATGAGTAATTCAGCCAATGATAATCACCTATTTGATCACAAGATGCCATTTGGATACTTGATGAAAGTCACTGGTGTTTTCATCAAATATCTTAATTACGCATGCAAAATTACTTGAATAGAATTCCTAATTACGTTATGCTTGGTTAAGAATTCTATTCAAATCAGCAAACGAAAACATTCTGTTGCGTCTCGATTCATTTGAGAAGCCATATAAACAACTCGAGCTCGTGTCTAACCAGGATATCCAAACACTCGAAAACAATGTATGAAAACACTCGCGCTCGTGTTTTCATACATTGTTTTCTCGTGTTTGGATATCCCAGTGAAACACTCGCTCTCGTTGTTCATATATTACATCAAAGTTTCTGTGACCACAGTAGGAATTTTGCATGGGTAAATTCTAAGTTTTGAAGGATTTGTAAGAAATATTTGAGGAAACTGACTCAGCGTTAAACACCGAATCAGTTTCCTCAAACATTTCGTACAGATCCTTCAAAATTTAGAATTTACCATTGCAAAATTTCTACCACGATCACAGTGTAAACACGCCTTATAATGAGTACGACTTTATGCTGCGATACTTAAAGGGAAATGGCAATATATATTTTTATTTTCGCATTTGAAAGAACTTTTGAAACTATTTAATAACTTCTTTTACCGATTCTTCATATCTTGCTTAGTTCTTGAAATATTTTCACTTGAAGTAATGAGATGTCAGCCATCTTGGATAAATTTTTTATCTCATTAACGGTAGTTTTGGTGACGTCACAACAGGGATTAACCATATAAAAGTATTCGTTGTTGACCAAATATTGATTGGTAGATGTTTTAAAGGTTTCATGTGATCTTGATATTTCCAAGAGCATACAGAGTATAATTTTGAGTGCAAAATGATTAGTGGTTGTCTAGATAAAATATTGCATGATCCCTGTTGTGACGTAACATGCATATCTACAAAAATCCAAGATGGCGGACATTTCATTTCTTTCGATTAAAATATTTGTAGAAGTAAGCAAGATATGAAAAAACGGTAAAAGAGTTTTATATATGGTTTTAAATGTTCTTTCAAACGAGAAAATAAAAAAATATATTGCCATTTCCCTTTAAGGTTACAGGACACCCTATTTGGCGTTTTGCGGAAAATCGCTACTGCGCGCTCAATATCAGTCCGATTTTCATCAAATTTTCACCAAATGTTCTCCAGTGCATGCACAATATGGTAAACTTGTAAAATCAATAAAAAATAAAATAATATAAGAATTATTCAGGGCAATCTTAAATCGCGGTGCCGTTACGCTTTTGAGTTGTGCTCCTGCTGCTTTTAAGTTATATTTATGAAAATATCATTTTTATACAGTAAAATAGTTGTTCTAAAAAATTGTGTTCGGAAATTTTTGTTTATTTTGTCATTCCGCTGATATGGCGATTTCTTTGACGACTGCAATATATTTCTGAATTGTTTGAGTGAATTGCTCTTTATTTTTAAAATATCCAAAATTTAAAAAAAAATCCGAACACAATTTTGAAACTGACGTCTTTAGCTATGTCCTGTGAAAATTTGAGAAAAATTGGTTAAAACCCGCAGGAGAACAACTCGTTTGAAAATCAGTAATTACCGTAAAATGTTTCGGGAGAAAATTGAATTTGAATATTACATTTTCAATGTTTTTCTTATTGCAGCGAAATGTATTTTATTAAATAACTCTGCGAGTTCTCAACATTTTTCGTTCAAATTTGGTCAGATAGTAGAACTAGTCTAATGCTTTCATGGAAACCAATAAAAAAAATTTTAGGCAAAATTAACATTCAAAGGTGTTCTGTAACCTTAACCGTGTACAATTCGTCTGAAATACCAACCCTTTTGTGTTCGCATTGCTTGTTCGCAGTTGTTGACAATTCTGGAGCAAACTGTTATCACCTTGTAACAAGGTTGATGAGGCCAAGAGGTTCCAACAAGTCTGATATCGTCTGCACGTAACAAGTTGTTAACAAATTAAGAGGCAATTTTTTTCCATGTCACGTATTTGCAATGAAAAGTGTTCAAAACCTAAAATTTTTTTGGCGTTCCTCTCAAAATTACTTTGTTTTAGCTTTATTCTTTAGTTTATAGAGTCAGCAACCTTTTTCAATGTATCTGCCGGTTGAGAAACATAAACTAATAGTTTGAAATTGTCAATTAAAATACAATTATGAATGATGCATGCTTTAAAATTGACGCCATATTTACAGCCATATAAGCAAAACTTATTGAACTTCAGACATAATTTTCTCTTTGGCGTGTCATCTAAAATCTCTTCAATTTAGCATTATTTTACAGATAAAGCACTAAACATACTTTTTAAGTTTGTTTGCCGATTGAGAAACGTATCGAAAAATAGAAATTTTGAATTTAATCATAACCTCAAGTGGTATATTATACGCATTAGTTTTGAGCGCGTGTTACGTAACATACAAAAAATTCTCCTCTTAATGACAACAGGCTCGTAGCAACTTGTTACAAACAGCCTGTATCACTAGTCTTTTTAGAACAACTTGTAGCAAGTCTGTTATAATATACCGTCATCAATCTTGTAACAAGGTGATAACAACTTGTTCTAGGCTTATCACAACAACTGGGGGCAAGCAGTGCGAACACATCCTGATATCGGCTTAAGAATGGCTTATGCCCCCTAAATAAGATTTTCTTATCTATGCATGGGGATGAGATTGAGGAAACATTACCTAAACAAAGCCAGCTTCATCCTATCTACTCTAAAGTATCATAAATGTCAATGTGTACATAGTATTATAGGCAAGGAATCGTATAATTTCGTACCTATAGTAGCAGTTACTGTACAGTCTGTACTGTTGGTCCGCGTTGTGCTCCAGGGCTGATACCTCTGCCTTTTGCTTTCTTGCTATCGCGTATCAGCACTGCATCTTTCTTGAAAACCACATCAAAATTATCTCTTTTTCTGTTTCGTTGCCGGATTAAATCATGATTCTATGAGAATAAATGTACAGTTTAAAGGTAACAGCTCTTGTAATGTTGTCCAACTGAAAATCATTGCAAAGTAAAGCATGCTTAAATCATACAGAGGTAGTACATGTTCCTGAATGTGGACTGTTCTTAAAGTGATCTGAATCATCTGATGTTGTACAGAACTCACTGCTGAGTTAAGCGTGGTAAATCATACAGAAGTAGTACGTGTTCTTGAATGTGGGCTGTTTTTAAAGTTATCTGATGTCGTATGCAGAACTCACTGTTGAGTTAAGCATTGTTAGATCATGCAGAGGTAGTACATGTTCTTGAATGTGGGCCACCTTAAAGTCATCTGATGTTGTACAGAACTCACTGCTGAGTTAAGCATGGTTAGATCATGCAGAAGTATGTGAGCTGCCTTAAAGTGATCTGATGTTGAACAGAACTCACTGCTGAGTTAAGCATTGTAAATTATACAGAGGTAGTACATGTTCTTTACATTTGGGCATTCTTAAAGTGATCTGATGTCGCACAGAACTCACTGCTGAGTTAAGCATGGTGCATGCAGATATATATACATGTTCTTGAACGTAGTCTAAATTATTTAATCTGGTGTTTTACAGCACAAGTGACCACTTACCGCCGTGTCCTGCCATCTAGCTAATTCTTGAGCCTGTTTATCTCGTCTTTTATCCTAAAACAATGGATAATATTAGAGATATATGTTGCTGGTACCATATGTACAAGTCTGACATGTCTTGGCATGAATTGGACTGATTAGACTAAGAAAAGTTGGTGTCAATTGCATAGTGTTTTGTACATGCAATTGCAGTGATGCACCGGCATGGAAATTCACCGATATTCCTATAACCGATATTGAAGGATCGCGATATTTTGCCGATACCGATCTTCTATGCCATTTCACAAAATTCAAAGATGACATCAGGACAGTTCTACTTTAATACTTTTGAATTTAATTCAATTAATTTGTTTCTAAATACTGAAAATATCAATTGAAATGCTGCAAACGCATGCAACAAACTAGTAGTTTAAACTAGCATATTACTACGCCAGTCAGTGACTGTTTATTTCTAATAAAAATAACTATTGAACTGCAACTGTAACCAATCATTAATATTTAATAACAGTTTGTAATATCGGTAATATCATGATTACCGATATTTCTATTTTAGTACCGATAAGCCGATACCGATACACCGCAGGGCCTTTTTTAAGGATTTTCCCGTGGGGGGGGCGTACTCCCCAAAATGTTTGAAATTTGGAACCCTGAAATGCATTCTGAGCATGGATGCTAAAATAATTATTATATAAAAAAAAAATAATTATTAAAAATAATTTATCATTTGTACTTAGTGGTAGAAAAACGTAACAATTTAAATCGATTTTGTTAAACAAGGACAAAGGATAAAGCCTAAAACTTACTGTCCATTTATCTATTTGTTAATCTTCGCTGGTTTGTTTGCATAATTTTAGGAAAAAGCGACTTTTCCTGGGGGGGGGGGGGGGG